ATAAAAGCCTTCCTTTCCTTGCGACCTTGCTCGTTGGTCTCCTTGTTGGATTAAAACAGCGTCTGGGGAAGCAATAAAATCTAGCTTTTGGTACCATTACAGCATTAACTGGCGGCGGAAATGATAGGTACAAAGATTACGTGGCTGCGCCTGCTAAAGCTAAATTTGTACACTGAGGTCCGATTGGCGAAAAAACTGTGTTGTAAACGTCACTTTCTACGCACCCTCTTCTGCTTCACTCTTAATGGTTTCTTCCCATCCCATGCACCGCTCGCGTAGCCTGAACGGTCTGTTTGATGTAAACGTCTGCAAAACAGAAGTGAAGAATCCGAATACGATTATATATCGATCAGTTTGGGTCGACGTTTTGTTGCATAGTTTTCCAGGAGCCCAATGCTTTCGGTCCAGTTAATTCGCAAGCGAAGCTACAAAGTGGATAAGCTTTTCTGAAGTTCAAAGCCTTGGGCTTCGGTTGGCTCATACTCCCATATCGAGTTTTTTTAAATATAACAATTTCTTCAAGGTCACTGCTCCGAAGAGCTGTTATCATTGTACGTGAAATGCGTATACAGACTGTTTAAATTTGTCGGCCCTTTTCACCGATCCTGCCTCCATTTTCCCTGACTCTGCTCTGACATTGGACTTGGGTTGGTGGTGGGTGCCGAAATGTGATAACTACAGTGCAAGTTCACCATTGCAGTAAACTAAATCACGCGCCAGGCACTGTCCCTGCGTCTAAGAGGCATGGTGAAATTAATCGGTAACGACGTTCGAACTATCATAACTTAGAAAAAATATGTTTGTTTTAAAATTCCACAAATTTTGGAATGAATGATTTATGACGCCTGTGTATTGTCCACGAGTATCGAGGTAGGCTGAACCCTAATTATTCAAAAAAGTATAACGTTTGAGGCCACAAGCGCCAGTATTTAATAGTTAGAATGTGCGATTCATCCCAAGTGATAGCCCTAGTTGATTAAGTGAATGACGGAAGCTGGTTCTCACTGAGAGCCACTGTAAAAAAAGGTGGTACTGGGCAGCATAGTTTTGACCGACGTTTGAAAGGCGAACATCCGGTTACCTTCGGAAGATTATGAATAATAAACCATGAACCACCGCAAACCCTTCGTTAATCCAACCGCTGGCAGACATACAAATGCCACAGAAGAATACTGAGGCCATTTAAGGCGAAAACGCCGTAGAAGTGGTCCCAGTTCTGGTCAAGCTGTGCGCCCAGAATTATAAATTGCAATATCGGCTGTGGCTCGGTGTTAAATTGCCTACTCCTCCTGAAGCCTGGGAAATGTTCCCGGGGCACATAGCATCATTCGTCCTTGACGTCATGGAAAACCGCACCGCAGCTGAAGCGCATACTACTAACACACCATCAATCTACGTATAGCAGCAACCGTTAATTAATCCTAATTTTAAAAAAGCCAAATGGGGTTCCGATTACAACTGCAAACACGGTAAGTTTGTAGTAATCCCACTCCGCGCGAACCCGCGCTCCTCGCTGCTGACAGCACATGTACACGCACTAGTGCCTGCCCACCACAAGCCGGTCTGGCCAATCATCTTCCTGTGGCTGACTCACACATGACCGCGCTCTCACACTTTAGACGCGATCCTCTTGCGGGATTTCGTGCACGCGTCCGACAGTAAAATTCCTACCTATTTTCCACTGCTTCTTTACAGAATACACCATTCCTTCAACCTGTCGTCTTGCTTCTTCTCTAATCCTACGAAACCGGGCCTGAAGATCGCAGTGGCAAGTGTTGTTACCAGTAGTTGTGTCGACAAGAAAAGCTCCCCAAATCACTAGATTGGTAAGACAGAGTTGGTAGGAAGAGCTTTAATGTACGAAAGGAGCTTTACAAAAGGTGCTGCCAAACGATCGTAACCGCTGTGTCCATAGTCCCGTTGGATCCGTGAATGTGTCTTTTGCTGCGAAGTCCTGACTGCTGAAAGTCCCTTGTGGCCTATGCAGCTAATCAGGTGAAATGGCGCGCATAGATTGGCTTCGAGCTTATGTGCGCCTTAAGTAGCGTCGCCGGGGAGCCGTAGGAAGGACAGGACATCTCGGGCATCTAGCAGCGATTTCCAGTGCCCGAGAAGTTACCTGACCGCGAACGAGTACCAAAGGCTTGACAAGCGAAGACAGGAGTACTGATTGCAGGCTACTACAGCGTTTCCCACATTTACTTAAGCCACTGAGAGAGATATTACTCAGTGGGTATGTAGTGGGTCGTTGCCCGCACGATGCCTTC